ACCGTGGTTCTAATTTTACAGTTTCTGGGCATACAAATGTGTGATACATTGGGTGTCGGAATATTATTACTTCAAAGAAGACATTCATTAATGTAGACCATGCTTTACAGGAAATAATTGGTATAAGTTAATTTTGTTGACTAACTATTGGTTACACTTATGAAGTGAATTGAAAAGTTACACAATGTTGGTTTGACAGTATTCTGAATATTTTTGTTGAAGAAGTAGACAGAGAGAGGTATGAGTGCAGGCATGGCATTTGAACTATTCCTTGAAGTTAATTCTCAGTGCTTTGTTGGCTCCAGGGAAATTACCTCAAGTTGCAGCTGCGTCCACAGAAGGGACTGTGGTAAACTGTACCTATATGAAAGTATCTGTTTAACCTTTTAAGACATTTAAAGGGTCATCAAGATAGAAATGTTTGTAGCAGCTCCTAGCCAATCTCCCAGGCCATATTTCTATCTGCTTTTGTGTCTTTGTCATAATCACCACCCATACATTCTTTGCTACATTTTTATAATCCCTGATTCTCTAGCTTACTTTTTAAAGATTTTTTTATTTATTGGAAAGTCAGGTATACTGAGAGGAGGAAAGACAGAGAGGAAAATCTTCCGTCCGATGGTTTACTCCCCAAGTGAGCGCAAAGGCCGATACTATGCTGATCCGAAGCCAGGATCCAGGAACTTCCCCCGGGTCTTCCACACGGGTGCAGGGTCCCAAAGCTTTGGGCTGTCCTCGACTGCTTTCCCAAGCCACAAGCAGGGAGCTGGATGGGAAGTGGAGCTGCCGGGATTAGAACTGGCACCCATATGGGATCCCGGTGCGTTCAAGGCGAAGCATTTAGCTGCTAGGCCACACCGCTGGGCCCTCATTCTCTGGCTTTTCCATGACCTGTATGTCCTGAAACTATTCCTCTCTCTCCCCTTGGACTCCGCCAGGGGTGGATGGTTTCAGGTGGTTGGCACTTGGTAACCATAGACAAGAATTGACAAGTGGAAGGAAAGTAGAAGATCCCCCTCTTTGTCTTGGGTTGTGCTTCTAGCAGTGTCTTTTCCGTTCCTCCTTCTGTAGCCAGCTTCTGCCAGTGACTTCTCATCATGGTGTTTTGGCCCCTACAGACACTTCTGACTTTTGGAATCTTTTAATACCTCTTCCTCTTGTTTGGCTTCTGGCCATCGAGCAGTGTGGCTTGATCACCATCCGTTGATTATAACTTTTCAACTTGCTCATCACTCTCAGAACCAATTCTGTTTTAAATTCCCTTTCTTTCACATTCCCAGAGTTATATCTCTTTTCCCTACTAGACCCTTACAGATCTCTTGATAGGATGAAATATCTTCATTGCTTTTACTCATCAGAGTAGCTTAGATGGTCCCAAGCCTGTGAAGCCTGCAGAAAATACTGACTCCCTGAACTCACCAGGTATATTTGACAGCTATACAGCAACCTCATGCCAAAAGAGCCGGTCTCAGCAAAATTAAAAATGACTTGTCCTGCGGACTTCATGGGACAATGACAAGTGTCAGAACAGCACAGGCTGTTTTTGAGGAGTGTCAGTAGGTTAAAAGAGGTCAAATGTGTTACAGAATTTCACACGTTTAGTTGCTCAATAAATGGCGCCATCTTTCCTTTCCTCAAAAGGCCTGGAGGCGGGCATTGTGCACAGCAGGTTAAGCTGCTTGAAATGCCTGTATCCCACACCAGGATGGCTGGGACCCAGTCCAGCCTGTACCTCTGCTTCTGATCCAGCTGCCTGCTAGTGCAGATGTCCCATGTATTAAATCCCTCTACTCATTCAGGAGACCCAGATGGACTTTCTGGCTCCTGGCTTTATCTTGGCTCAGCTCCAGCTGTTGCCAACCTTGGGAACAAAGGTATAGATGAAAGATCTCTCATTCCCTATTGCTCTTCCTTTAATGTATTTTTTTTTAAGTAGAAAGCTAGGTAATAGTATAAATTATTTATCCCTTAAGGTAACATATTCTGAGTCCTAAATAATTCTGGGTCCATAGATAAGTAGTCAAAAAAAAAAAATTGTTGTCCAGTGCATATTACTATCAGTTGAATTGCTGACTCACCAGTCTAGCCAGATGACACTGCAAGGGAGCTCTGATTCCTGTCAGAAATGATTTATAAAATTAGGCTCTAACTGGGAGTCTCATCAGATCATATGTCAACACATTTCTTATCGAGACTGAAATGACTTGCCACTGGAGTTCCTGCATTCCGCACTCGTGCCACTGACTAAGGCCCCGGATCCTCCCCCATGCAATCCCTTTTGGAAGATTGCCTATGAGCAATAATATTCAGGGAGTACTGCCTGAAGGGTATGCATTCTGTTGATTGGTCACTGAGCTGGCCTAGTTTTTTTTTCCACGGTTTATGTTACATCATCAGATAGCTACCTTATGTGCAGTATTAGTTCTTGTGAGTTTCTCTTGACTAGGGATAATGAATGCAAAAAGGCACTTTTGACATGAAGGGATTTTGCATGGTGTAAAGGAAAACACTCAGAATTCCAGATGGAGGAAATGAGTTGATTGCCAATACAGAGACCAAGGCTTGTCTGAAACCATTCACCTATAAACTAGGAAGCAAGAAAACAGCCACATGAGATTGGAAGCCCTGTGTCCTGGACTGGCACAGATACATTCCTGTAGGAGAAAAAATAAACGCATTCCTGAACATGCAGTGGCTGTGCCTTCCCTGAGGGAATGACTGCCAGGAAGTGCTCAAATGAAATCAGAATAGAATCAGAGCAAGTCTGTCTGAATGGGAGGAGATGAAGGACAAAGCAACAGTGATAACAATGAATCTTGTGCAAAATGGTCGACTGAAGGATGATGATAACATGACTACGAGCTAACATTTATTAACTCTCATTTCTTTCTTTTATCTAAAAGACATATTCAGTGAGGAGAGATATTTCATAGTTTAAGGTAGAGCCGGTAATGGAGTAGTAAAAATTCTGAAAGTAGCAATTTGATATATTACTGTAATTCTAGTAAGAATCCTAACTTGTAGAGTAAAGGTATTGTCAGGGTAATAACACTTTTTTAAAAAAAAATATTTAATTTAGTTATTTGACAGAGTTGTGGGAAGAGACAAAGTGACAGATAAGCAGAGATACCTTCCAGCTAGTGGTTCAACTCTCAAATGGCTGTAGTGGTTTTAGCTGAGTCAGGTCAAAGGCAGGAACCTGGAGCTCCGTCCAGGTCTCCCATGTGGATGTAAGGGCCTGAGGGCCTGGCCATGTTCTGCTGCTCTCCCAGGCAGGTTATTAGCAGGGGTCTGGGATCAGAGGCACAGCAGCCCAAACAGTTGCTCAAAAGGGATGGTGGTATCTCAGAACTAGACTAACCCACCTGATCCCAGTGCTGACCCAAAGTAATAAGACTTTAAAATCTGCATGAAAACATAAATAGGAAATGTTCACTCCTTTAATGATTTACTTTATTTGAAGAGTAGAGAGACAGAGAACTCCCATCTATTGTTTTATACCCCACAAGCTTGAGGCAGCCAGGGTTAGGCCAGGCAAATGCCAAACATCAGGACCCTAATTCATATATCTCATATCTGTGGTAAGGTCCCACGTAGTAGAGCATTACCTGCTTCCTGGGATGTAGTAGCAGGAAGCTGTAATCCGAAATGGCACAAGGACTGAAATCCAGGAAGTCTGATATAGGATGCAGGCATTCCCAAGTGGATGTCTTAACCACTGCCCCAAATGGCCAATTTTGAAAGAAAAGCAGTACGGGGAGCTTGCACCAGCAGATATAAGTCAAGTCACTGCTTTGAAAGCAGTGTGCTATCCACCCATATTGTTCCCTTCATATATCTGAGGAAGAGGGGGATATTGAGGGAGAAGCCCCACCCGGTTTCCCACCCACCCCAAGTCCTGCATGTGGGGCATGCTCCGAGATACTCGTTGAAGTGGTTTCAATAGGTCACTAGTTTTGAAATTGCTGCTAGACAATGAACTTTTGAAAAGTGTCAGCCCCAATAGTAGTGTGAGGGTTGCAATAACTGAAATGTCAGTGCTGGTTAGATTGGGGAATAGTCAGTGTGTCCAAAGCCAGTCCCCTGCTGTTACACTGACTGCTTGAACCTCATGCCTGGAAGAAATGTAGCAATAGTCATTCAAATACTTCAAACTCCACAATTCCACTGCTAGAACTCTTCCCCAAAGGAATTAAAGAAGTAGAACTTTAATGATATGTAAAGACGACTGTTTATTTCTGGTCTGGTTGTGATAACCCATCCAGGAAACAGACTGGGTGTTCATTTACAAAGGAGTGATGGGGATAATTATGGCATGTCCCTCTTCTGGAATATTATGCAGTTATTTTAAACCTAGGTAGATGTGTATATTTGAAAAGGCATATAAATTATGCTAGTAAGATAAAGTATAAATTATGCTAGCAGAACAAAGTAGAAGAGTGTGTGTGTGTGTGTGTGTGTGTGTGTGTGTGTGTGTGTGTGTTTGAACAAGCAAAAGGAAGAGCTTGATTATTTTGGAGGTGGTAAAGGTAAGGACTTAAATTTGATTACAATAAGCAAATGTTCTTCCCATTTAAAAAGTAACTGTCACAGAAGAGTTGATTTGAGCTGTTCTCTGAAGCCGTACATAAAAACAATGCTTGTGAAAACACAGTCAGTTATCTCATGCTGAAAATTTGTCCACATTGTCGGTGTCTCCTCTCTGAAGACCCAGAGGAAAAAATTACACTTTAGCCTCAATCCCTAGCTAGCTGTGGTTCATTTGAGAAACTGGCTTGCTTTTATCTGTTGGGCAGTAAATAGGGGACGGTGCATTTGCTTTCAATGACAAGACCAGAGCACTTGGCTTATAGATACTAACATCATTTCTCTCTGCCATTCCTTCCCTCAACGTAGTTATCTGAGTATGTTGTATTTCTCCCTGTAGTCACCACTTGTCTTTCTGAAAAGATGCCATAGCGTTATGAATAAAGAATAACCAGGGATTTCTATTTTAACAGGTACTTGAGGAAAAAAAAAAAACAGTCTCAACCATGAACAGGCTATCCATCACTACCAACTATAGATGACCTGCCATTTCATTTACCAAGGTAAGGAAATATGTGCAGTCCCTGTTTTTAACGAATTCTGACTGATTCACTGTAGAGCCTTTTTTTATTATATAAAAAAGTTCATGAATTTAAAAATTTCTCACAGCAAAAAAAGATATATCTTTCTATTTCACTTTGCCATAAAGATATTCTCATTTATTTATCAATATTTTCAAACATTTATCTGGTTCATGACCTAGGACTTCACCATCATGAAACACACATAGACCAAACATTTTATAAATGTCTGTGTGCCTGCAGGCGTGCAACCCAGAAGCTGAGATCTTTGCTATAAATTACTGTGTATTGCGAAAGTTTTAATAGGAATAATATTTTTTTAGTTTAAATGGAGTAGTGCTCACTGTAAAATATTGTAGAATAAGAAAAATACAAAAATGAAAACCTAAAGCATTCATAATCACCAGTACTCCGATGTTTTTGCTCCTTCCTTTTAAGTGTACACTGGAATACGTATGGTTATACTGCTCTTAAAGCATTGTTTTTATGTGGCAAGTATCTGACACAGTGACTGAAGGCCACTTAGGATGTGCAGAAGACTTTGATTCAAGCACTGAGTTCCTCACACCCACAGGATACATGCAGATTGAATCCTGGGCTGCTGGCTTCAGCTTGGCTCAGTCCTAGCTGTTGAGATATTTGAGATGTAAACCAGTGGATGGAAGATCTCTTTCTTTGTCTCTGTGTCTCTTTCAAATAAAACAAAAATCTTTTTTTAAAATTTAAGTGGTTTTAACCTTTTCCTGACCTCCTCCATGACATCCTGTATGATAAGTGGTGTGGAAGCAGAACAGATCCAGAAAGACGGTCACCATTGTGACCACTTCAGCCCGTCAGCAGGGTCTGTCCCCCAGCGTCTCACTTGCCTCTCCTAGCCCAAGGCCTGGTTAAACATCACTTTCCACAAGAAAACCTTTGAGCCTTTGTCACTGTGACTTGTTCTGTGCTCCTTAAAAGGAATTGATTTTTAGAAAACAGTTTACCCAGTTCTCTTCCATTCTTCTCTACGGTCAGGTAACTTAACAAAGAGTGTTAGACCTCTTTTAAGGCCCTGTCAGATCCATCTGTTACTCGTGACATTCAGCCTCTCAGTCAGGTGGCTTTCTCAAGCACCGTCAGGATTGCTCCTGCAGCCTGTGAGTGTGAAAAGCGGTCTTGGAAGTAAAGAGACTGCATTGGCATTCCTCAGGGACATCTTCATCTCCTGGGCTGTATTGAATGGTGGAAGGTTCAGTTTTAATTCTGAGTCTGGTATTACAAAAGCCTTTGAGGTATTGTCATTCCCCTAGTATTTTATTCAGAAATTGCAAAAATATTATCATAGAAACTTAGAAGAAACTATTTTTTTAATGAATCAGACAGACATCGTTGGGAAGCAGGTTTCTGTGAAACATTTGCCCTTGAAGATTGCCTGTTTTCTTAGGGACAGATTAGATGGACACAAATAGAACTGAAAACCTGAAGAGGCTGCTTTATTGGTGCTGTTACCAGAAATGCCCGGTGGGTTCTTTCCTCAGCTTGGCATAGAAATAAAAAGCCGGGAATCTGTTGCAGACAGAAAAGTTTATTTGTGAAGGAAGCAGGTGAGCAGGGAAGAGAGAGGGAAGGGGAAAGCCAGGGGGTGGGGTGCCTCTCGAAAGGGGAGGGAGAGAGAGAGACACCGAAGGTTTGAGGAAGGGTCTTGGGACTTTAAGCGATCCCTGACCCCTCCTTGTTGGTTCCCTACAGGTACAAAGTTCCCATAGGTGGTCTCTTAATCAGTTAGGAAATGGGTGGGCAGTGCTGGTGCCGTCCCCCTGAAGGTGTAGCCAAGACCTCAGCAGGCCTGGGTGGTCTGTCCTGGTCTTCCTTGTGGTTTACAGGTGTTAGATTTGCAAATATATGGAAAGAATTTCGATGACCTTTGTTTCATGGAACCATGGTCACAGGCTTCCCTTCCCGGCGCAGCAGAAAGACGTGAAGGAGTAGGCTGCAGGGTAAGAAGAGCGAGGAAGAGACTGGGAAGGAGCCCTTTTAAACTCTCTTTGACAGCTGAGGGAGGGGGTCGCCTCCACCCTTATTGGGGGAATATGGGTCTGTGCCCCTCATTGGTGCAACGGTGGTCTCACAGCCTGAGGGGCCGCCAGAATTCTGCCATCGATTCTGGGTTTGGTTGGAGGCAAACTCTGCCCTTGTCCGGTTTCCGTGGTAGCCATCAACAGGGACTTGAGCCATCACCTGCTGCCTCCCAGAAAGGCCAGCAACAGGAAAGCGGCTTCAGGAGCACAGCCAGGATTTGAACCCAGGCACTCCCAGTTGGTATCTTAACAGTGGTATCAAACACTTGTCCCAAAAGGTGAGCTCTAAAGCACGCTGTAATACATGTTTACAGGTTATAGTGAAATACTTTAACACTAGCATGTGGTATATACTGATCAAATCACAGCAGTTAGCATTTTCTTCTTTTTGTATTTACAGTTGGAGTCTTGTGGCTCCTCTCTTCTTTTGCTCAAAAATGTGTCATGGGGAATCATGAACTGCAGTCATCTCACTGTTCTGTGTGGTGGTGGGAACTTACTGGTACTAACTCTGTTATCCAGCCTCAGCCAGTGCCCTCACACTTCACCCAGCCTTTAGGAATTGCTTCTGTGTTGAAGTGGAGAAGAGTGAGGCCTTCCACATGTGAGGGAGAACATGTGGTATTTATCTTTCTATGTATGATTTATTTCACTGCATTGTCTTTTAATTCCATCTATTTTGACGCAAACGACAGAATTTCATTCTTTTTTTTTTTTTTAAAGATTTATTTTTATTATTTTTTCATTGGAAAGGCGGATATACAGAGAGGAGAGACAGAGAGGAAGATCTTCCGTCCGATGATTCACTCCCCAAGTGAGCGCAACGGGCCGATACTATGCCGATCCGAAGCCAGGAGCCTCTTCCGGGTCTCCCACGCGGGTGCAGGTTCCCAAAGCTTTGGGCCGTCCTCGACTGCTTTCCCAGGCCACAGGCAGGGAGCTGGAAGGGAAGCGGGGCTGCCGGGATTAGAACCGGCGCCCATATGGGATCCCGGGGTTGCAAGGCGAGGACTTAACCAATTGCGCCACCGCGCCGGGCCCAGAATTTCATTCTTTTTTACATCTTGATTGTAGTCCATTGTACACATAGACACACGAATTAAGATATATACATCCATATATATATAGACAAATGTGCCAACTGAGTTCAGAACTCGCGAAGGGTGCATGGATGAGGCGTAGAGAGGAAGGAAAGACGGACCACTAGGATTTCATGATTATAATGGACAATGCAGGAAAGCTGTCCGCTTTATTTATACAAAATCAGTCAAACTCTGGCTCAGACTTTTTACGTCACAGTCAAGCTGGGAATTTCTAAGAATAATTCTGCCATAGTTTTACCTAGAAACAATAGAAGTTCCTGCTAAAATTCTTATCCTACAACTCAGTCTTGTATCACAAAGAAAAGGGGAATCTAAAGAATGAGGAAAGGATGAAAGCCTAAATCCAGATCCCCTGATTAGCATAGGCTCAATGGGGACAGCCAAGACAGTAGGAATAATAGAAGACCCCTTTGCAAGACGCTATCACCAACATTAACCTCCAAGCTCAGGCTGAGCAAAAGGCCAGCCTCACAGTAGCAAATGCCAAGATGGATTAGAATTCTTCCGCTGGGTGGTCCAGTGTCCATGCAAAAGAAGGTGCTTGGGGGGAATCCCCAGCGCCTATGGAGCTGTACTACATAATACAATGTAAGCAACAATAATAATAAAAAAAAAAAAAAAAAGAAGGTGCTGCATTCAGGTGGTTGTAGAGACATCCGCCGGGTGGGCCCTGCCAAACAGCAGGAAATTCCTTGCAGCCCTGCCTGCAATGGAACAACACTCTTCACCCCTTCATGCCCCCCACATCTACTGCACAGACCCCAACACAAATGGATTAAGAACTGTGATATATAGGGTTTCTTAATCCATTGTTGGTTGATGGAAGATTTGGTTGATTCCATATCCTGACTTTTGTCAACAGCGACACCATCTATGTGGGGTGGCAGATATCTCTTTGGTACAATGATTTTGTGTCTTTTGGATGTATTCTCAGTAGTGAGGTTGCTGGAACATGTAGCAGTTCTATTCCTACTCTTTTAGGGAATCTTCATATTGTTTTCCGTAGTGGTTTACATTCTCATCAACAATCTATAAAAATTTCTTTTTCCCCTATGTAGTGGGCAGCATTTTTGTTACTTTGTGTGTTTTTCATAAGAGCCATTCTAATAGATGAGATACTATCTGGTGGTGGCTTTAGTTTGCATTTCTGCAGTGGCATTAAGCACTTTGGCCATTTATATTTCTTCTTTGGAGGAACGCTCAGCTCCTTTGCTCCTTGCTTTAATTCATGGAGCTTGTGTCGCTGCCGAGTTTTGGTTCTGTGTGTGCTCTGGATGTTAACGCTTTGTGAGATGAATCCCCACATTCTCTCACTTTCTGCTGACTGTCGCTTCCCTCTTGCTTCCGTTGCTACTTGGAAGCTTCTTAGGTTGCCTGTGAGGCATCAGCCAAAACTACCAAAATGTTTTACAAGTAAAAATTTTCTTTGAAAGAAGGACTCAACAGGATTATTATTATTATTATTATTTTAATATTCTGGAAATTTTCATTAAAACTCATGGCAACAATAACAACAGTGTGATTAAGATATTGGGTTTCAGAGTAAAGTTTAAATTCCAGATGGGAATACTCTTTTCTTGTAGATGTCTTCTGCTGCTGGAAATGGAGGTGCAACACCTGCAAGGCAAAATGAAGAAAAAACCTACAAGAAGGTGAGTGCTTTCTTGTCCCCCTCCTGCTTGGAAGGAGGAAAGCTGCATTACTGCCTGGCCAGTCAGTATGGCTAGAGGACCCATTCCATCCCAAGCTCTTGTCAGTTATTTTCTCAGTTCCTTTGGGCTCTGTGGTTATCACAAGCTTAGTGGCTTCCGCAACACCACGGGATTCTCTTAGAGTTCTGTAGGTCACAGTTCTGCCTGAGCATTCGTTTGTGCTTATTTGTGTGTTTTCCAGTTCCTGGAGGCTGCCAGCTCCTGGAGACTTCCCAGTGCCTGGCTCCTGGCCAGTGCAAAACCAGCAGGGGACCTGGAGTCTCTTATTAGGCTGTGTCACTCTGACACTTTACTTGTGCTTTCTCGCTTAATCCTGAAAAATTTCTCTAAATCACCTGATTAGCAACCATTATCCCCTTGGTAACTTTAACCCCTTCTGGCTCTGTATCTTCTGGCTCTGTATCTGGCTCTGTATCACTTGATCTCAACCCCCAGGGCTTCTCTGCAGGAAATTTTGTTTTGTTTTCTGCCAGATGCCATGATAGGGAATGTTGGAGGAAACAGGCCTGGTGGCTGGCATTGGAATCTCTCACTTAGTACATTCAGAAGTAGTAAGTAGGTTTTTAGACATCTTACACCTTTGTACTTCAGAAAACAACTTATGTGGAAATGTTCTTTCCTTACCTCTAAGATTTTGTGTCTTGTGCCTGTTTATCAAAAATCACCTTTTCCAGCCTTGTAGTGAGTCTCACCTAACCACTCTTGGACTCTTTACATTCTTGAGCCCTAGCAGCCAGGTGAATGTCCAGAGATATTTCTTGGGTAAAACATATCACCAGGCTCCACTACTTCTGATTATGAATTGACTATACATTTGCCTTTTAAACGTCTCTTCTCCTCTTCAGAGTAGGAGGATTGAAAACTGAAGTTTTATTGTATTTGAAGTTTTTCTCATTTTCCTTTTACTTTTTGCTGGACTGGGAGAAGTTCTGCTGTAAAGTATGTACACCTTCTGGTTTGAATGTATATTCAGGTTCTGGAACTAACATGAGGGATTTTTTATTCCATTTCATGTAAGAGGTGATGGTTTTTTTCCCCCTGATATACCTTTTTAATCCAGAAACAATCAAACCTATAAGTATCTGCAGGGTGATGGACATTAAGAGCAATGCAGTGATTGGGTGAGTTAGGGTGAGGTTGACTCGGAGGCATCATGCTGTCGATAAAAGCTGCTGCAGCTGGCCAAACGCATCAGTACATTATTGCTTCTTTTTAGACATGGGTAAAACCAAATGCTGTTTTGTTTATCCAAGACTGTGTGAATTCAGCCCAGCTTGCAGTCAACCAGGAGATGACTCCATTGCCAGCTGATTACTACTTCAGGTCAGTAATGGGCAGTGCTCTTGGGTCATCATGAAAATGTCCTATGATGCTGGACTGAATTCTGACCTACAGGAAATCTGCAGAGTGCGCAAGTAATAGAAAGATTGTGACCAAGACATCTTGGAGTTTGCTGAGTATGTCCTGGCCCAGAAGTTAATAAAGCAGGTTTTCAGTAGCATTCTAGATATGCTTTTTTGATTAATATCTCTTACAGGATATTTGATGCAGCAAGGATGGAAAAGTTATAAAAACTAAAAATGAGATTCTGTAATAGAGATTAATTCCTATCCGTAAGAGAAAATTAAGGAAATAATAATGATACCCCAACGCATAATTTTTAAATTTACAATAGTGTAAGAATCTTTCCCATATTCACTAATTTAAGAACAAATACAGAATGTAAGGAGAGACATGTGGTCTCTCTGAGAAAAACAGCAATTAGCATGCAAAGAGGCAGCATAACACCCAGAACCTTAACTCTCAGGACAGCTTTGATAAGCACGGCAAGAAAAACGATCAGAGAAGGAAAGGATTGCTTTGCTAGCAGCTTAGTAAATTATTTAGTTTAATTCTTCGTTAAGCAGACCAATCATCAGATTGGAGAAAGTGTTAACGAGGGAGTTAAGAGAGGTGATAATAAGAAGCACATTAGCTCTTGAAAATGTATTTGTCTCTATATCCAGATCAGCCATTTCCCAGATGAAAGAACTTGAAACTAGGATAGAAAAACCATGAATGGGAGCTTTAAATGAATTTGTGATTTTAAGAATTGTCAAAATATAGGAGATAAGCAAATATGATCACTATTATCCAAACTACGGGAAATATTGCTTCTGGAATGTAACTGGTAAGAGAGGCGTTAGTCCGTAGCATAATTTGAGCTTGAATTCTAAGCACATGGTTTACCAACACTTATGAAATACATGTTGGACCTGGCGCAGTGGCCTAGCTGCTAAAGTCCTTGCCTTGAACGCGCCAGGATCCCATATGGGCGGCAGTTCTAATCCTGGCAGCCCCGCTTCCCATCCAGCTCCCTACTGTGGCCTGGGAAAGCAGTCAAAGACAGCTCAAAGCCTTGGGACCCTGTACCCACGTGGAAGACCTGGAAGGGCTCCTGGCTTCGGATCGGCTCAGCTCTGGCCATTGCACTCACTTGAGGAGTGAATCATTGGAGGGCAGATCTTCCTTTCTGTCTTTCCTTCTCTCTGTGTATCTGACTTTCCAATACAAATAAATAAGTCTTTAAAAAAGAAAAAAGAAATACATGTCTTACCTCAGTGGCAGCATAATGGAATTGTGAAAATTCACCAAAGACACCCATTGTAAAATTGGAGGGGAGATCAGTGGAGAGGGGAAGGAACTTGGGGCGGGGGAAGGGAGACCCCAGTGCCTATTAAACTATGTCATAAAACAAAATAATAGTAATAATGAAATAAATAATAAAAAAGATTTAAATAGGTAAGAAATTAATCAAATGAACAAACAGCTTTCCTAAAGAATAAGGAGTCATTTATATATAAAGTGTAATCAAGACTATAAATGCAAAATGAACCTCAAATTACTGAGGAACATCATAATGTACATTGTTATATACTATAAAATAGAAATAAAGAAAAAAATGTGAAAATAAAAAAGAAATGCATGTCTTTTACAAACTTGAAAAAATTCATCAGGATATAGTTTAAGTTATAGTTAATAAATTTTCTATTGTGGAAGAATCATTAAATTTGTTGTAGATAGGAAAGAGTATTGGGATTTAATGAATCTTATTAAAGCATGTAAGATAGTCTGTAGTACCCTTTGTATAAGAGTTAAATATGATAATTAGTGTGCTTGCGCCCGATTAGATTGATAATCCCAAAGAAAGGCAATTTTACTGCCTCCTCACAGTCTACACCAGCAACGTGTGTGTGTTTGCTTGGTGAAGCTTAACATCTTCACCCATGGCCTTAGTGAAAGCGTGCCAGGTGTATTTTTCAAATAAATGTGCAATGACAGACTAAAAACAAACTGTAAATATTAGCTAATGGCCAGAATTGCTGTGGTCAAGGCCCCATTGCACTCCATTAGCTGTGTCTCCTCACAAATAGGTTAGGGTCACTTTTTTCCCTGATCCTGAAGCCCTCACCATCAAATGTGCACCTGTTTAAAGAGCGCTATGGCATTATTGAAACCAGTGCGTGGATCTCAGGGTAAGTACTGGACCCCCCAATGTACAGTGCTAAGCACAGGAAAGATACCAGATGAATTTATAAGGAGCTCATGGTCTAGTAGGGGAGGCCAGAAGAGAAAAGGACCTTAGGTTTCAGTAGTACATAACAAGGTGGTTAAAATAGGAGCAGTCAGCTTGAGTTAAGGTAGACCAGCCAACTTAAGCTTCCTGTCTGCCCCGAGCTGCAGCTGCCAGCCACACTCAGTGGCATGAGTCTGAGTCCCATGTAATTTTAGGGAACACTGAGTATTCATGGAACACTTTATACTGTGTTTCTATTATTTTCACGTGGTTGTTTAGTTTGCCTGCTTTGGGTTTCTCCACGTGGCTATTTCCCAAATCCATTATCAGTTTTGGCAAGCCCAAGAGGAATTTCTAGAATCAGCAGTGGGAGGCTAATTTTTCCAGCTAATGGCTCAAATAAGAAGTTTGATTTTAGCCACTTAAATAGGCACTAATGGATGCCTGGCTGTTTTGCAGAGTGTCATATCTCAATTCTCAGTTAACTTATTATCTTCTGCAAGAGTTATAAATGCAAAAGCCAGGGCCTGGCATGTTAGCCTGGTGGCTTGGTCCTTGTCTTACATGTGCCAGGATCGCATATGGATGTCCATTCACATCCCAGTTGCTCCACTTATCCAGCTCCCTGCTTGTTGACAGGAGAAAGCAATGGAGAACAGCCCAAAGCCTTGGGACCCTGCACCCGTGTGGGAGACCAAGAGGAAGCTCCTGGCTCCTGGCTTCAGATTGGCTCAGCTCCAGCTGTTGCATCAGTTTGGGGAATGAATCAGCGAATGGAAAATCTTCCTCTCTGTCTCTCTGCCTCCTCTCTGTATCTCTGACTTTCCAATAAAAATAAAATAAATCTTAAAAAATAAAAAGCAAAGCCAACAGAGGCAGAATGGTAACAACAAAGTGAAATAACAAAGGATACAATGGTAGACTGAAGACTAAGTGAGTCCTTTGAAGGAGGCAGGTAGAACTCAGCCCTTGATATGCTTGAACTCTCCTGGAGAGGCCTCATCATCTTATTTTTTAAGTAATCAGCAGTTAAGGATTTTGGTGTGAAATCTCCCAAAATTTTAAATGTTAGTAGATGTTCAATTGATTTTTCTTAATATCAAAATATACTCTGGACAAAATATGTCCGTGGGACATGTCTGGTCTTCAAGCAATAGATAATTAGCAATCTGTAACTCACTTATGGAATAGGAAAGAAAGATACGAAAGATAATACCAACAAAATGCAGGTCAGAACTTGTCTGTGCTTCTCATGACTCTACCTTGTATGTAGAGGGAAAATACAGACCCATGGGGAGTAAAAAAGTGAACCAAGTGAGTACTGAGTAGATGCCAGGACTAGTGACATTTCATTTCATTGTTTTCACAAGTCCCGAAAAGCTTG